CAAAGAAGTTGCACTTCCCGGATGCAGTTCGCGCGAAGCGCACCACGCAGCGATTGTCCTCGGCAACTTCCTGGCAAGGCGGGGTGGTCACGCCATGAGGGGCCATGCTAAGGGCAACTATCTGCGAATTAGCACCCAAACCCTAAACCCTAAACCCTAAACCCTAAACCCTAAACCCTAAAGGCCTTTTTGCCGAAGGATGTCGAAACCCCAAAGCTGTCACTTCCGTGCCTTCTCCGAGACTGGCGGCTTAGAGACCTCCACCTCGCGAAAAGTTTCTACACGATCCATGGGCTAGTGCTAACGTTTGTCTCACTGAACTCCTTCCATCGATTCGCCCCTCCAGGCCTCGTGGTGGTGGACCAGGAGCTGATAGCCGGCTGAAAGGCGCGAGACCACGAGTGGCAGCGGGTGGCCGGCAGCAGCCGTCAGTAGGTCCCAAACACCCACCCTTGGTCGTTGTGCTGGTTGTGCTGGGCTTCGTTGAGCATGTCAACTGGTGTCGGTTTGCTTCGATGTGTTGCAACTAGGAGAAAACTTAAGAAAACAAAATCCAAGGATCTGGTTGTGGGCTGCAGCAATGAGACCATCACTTTCGACGTCGTAAACAGGGAGCCTCACCCAAACGATGGCCAGCAGGGCGGCCGATGCCACGAGATGGCAGGCCTGAGCCTCCTCGCTGGCGAGAAAGGCCCAGCTGGCTGCCATCAGGCCCAGCTCCTCGGTGCTGGGTCGCTGGAGCAGCCTTTGCTGTAGTTTCCAAGCATATCCTTCAGAGTTCATGCAGGGATCTTCCCTGAATTCCTGTCCATCCTGCATGCACCGATACAGCAGGTACAGTAGCTGAAACACGGGCCAGCCGGATCGAACCAGGGCATTCCAGCCGAAGGCCTGCAGAAGATGGAAGTCCCGACCCAGCAATTCCTCCACCGCGTCCAAGCGGGCTGCAGGTAAGGCTTGCGCCAGGCGCAGCGCCATCTGACCCAGAGGGCACTCGTTGCGCGCCTCGTCCTCTCCTAGCTCGCTGTACTCTTCCAGTAGAAGTGCCACATCTCCCAAGACAGCAGCCACCTCCCTGTTTGAGAAGACAGGGGCGCTTGACGCACGATACAAGCGACTCTGGAAGCGGCGCCATGCACCCTGACACTGCAAGGACTCAGGCCGTGACCTTGTCAGAAATGTCCCGAGCACGAGAATCGCCACCCAAGCACCTGCAAGCATTGCCGACGCCAGCACGCCTCTGCGCCATGGCGTCACGAGTGGCAATGCTACTCGAGCACTGTCTCTCTAGCTGAATGAAACTTATGGCATCCCGACGTGCGCAACTCCCGGTTGGAAGGATGTTGTGGTGGCCGTTGCTTATCGCACATCCCTGCGAAAGATGGGCTGCAGTAAGCGCTCACATATAAGAAAAACACAGCTGAGGCTCAGTGGCCGTCTCTTGTCACCCACCCGCGGGAGGGGCTTGTGACAGCCGCCCCAAAGACGACTGTGTCGAGCCCGGCCAGCCGGGACCCGCACGGCGCACCCGCTTTGGACAAACTCCAGCTGGTAAGGCCTGACTACGGGATCTGCTGATGTATGCTGAATCTAGCAATCCAGCAGCCTAGCGCCTTGCATCTAGGGGTGAAGGGTTGGAAGTTGTGGATGGATCTGCACAGTATGCGCTCGGCCCATGGCTCGTCATGAACCCAGGTCTATTGGACCCCTACCCCTTCCAGGATTTCAAGATCACAGGAAACCCGGATCACGCAGAGACAGAGGCCCAAGGCTTGAAGACATGAGGCACATTGCCCACCCATTGGGACCCCCAAGAAAATCTTGGGCCCCCAGCCCTGATGCCAAGCAAGAAACCCAACAGGCAGCCTAAACCCAAAGCTGGATAACTCCAAAGCCCTGCCTGAGGGTTCATGGGTAGCTAGAAGTAGGGTCAGAAGTACCCTAAGTAGGGTTGTAGAGATACCCTACGTATCACCCTACTTAGAACTACCCATGGAACCTTCGAGGGGTGCCTCCTATGCTGTGGACACCGGAAGCTGCACAAAGACCCGTAACCCCTCAGGACGGCACCGGGGGAGCCGAGTGAGGAACACGGCCTTCTCCCAGAGATCAGGATCGAGGATTGAGGGTTGCTGCCTAAATCGGATATATAAAATATGACAGGCTAAGCATTCACTAGTATACTTTAAGTCTTTAAGTAACATAAAGAGAAGATAATTACAAATATAAATATAAATATAGATATAGGTATAAATATACATATAAATATAAATATAAATATATATATATATATATTATACATAAAAATATATATAAATGTATATGTGTGTGTATGTATGTTCCAAAACGACAGCTTATGCATGCAATAAATAATATACTTTAAGTATCATGATTATATATTGATGGCGCTTGGGTATGTGCTACGAAAGCGCCGCCGTCACCCTTTCTCTGGCAAAATCCACGGCGGGGATATCGATGAGGATGATAAGAATAATAAAAATAGTACCGATACTAAAAAATGTTGACAATAAAATAGTACTGATACTAAAAATGATGATGATGATGATGACGACGATGATGATGATGGTGCTGGTGAGGGGTGATCGCTTGGTTGATTGATTTCTTGGAAAGTTTTGACTAAGTCGTGTGTCTGTTGATGAGACTTTGGGAGCAGAGGCCTCCATCACTGGCGGGCGCTGGTTCTGCTGGTAGTAGGCCAAAAGCTTCCTGGCCGAAGCTTCATGGGGGCCTTGCTCAGAAGCACGTGTGCTCCCATGCCTCTGAAAGTGGCCCACCTCAGCTCGAGCTATGCAGGGAGGAACTCCAGCCACAAGGGCGGCGACAGCAACCATGCAGGAACTTCTAATACCCAGCTTGAGGTGGTCTGGGGTGCAAACTGAGAAGGCGTAGTTGTGAACGCATGAGGCCTGCGGCGAGTAGTCAGGTTGGTGACCGCTTGCGGTAGCGACACCGTGGCATCAAGCATGTTCAGTGCATACCCAAACCTGAAGCAAGTGCCGGGAGTGCAGGGATGACAATCGGTTGCAGATGTACATCCCTGACACTTCCGCAAAGCCCTACCGGAAACTGAGGCTCATCATTAACCTTTGGCATGGTACAAGGCCAATCGTTCAAAGCCATTTATGGCCAGCGCTTGGGGGCCACTGTACCGCTGATCTGTGTGGCATGCCAGGGGCGGCCTACCGAACATGATAAGAAACATGGATTCTGCAAGGGTGGCCGATGGTTAGTTGCAGGCCAGCAATGCTGACGGACACGAAGGGAGATCGTTGGAAGCAAGAACCTATGCACACTACTTGCGGATGTTCGTGCAGCTGTCGGGGCGTAAGTATCCTAAATTAGGGGTAGATGATTACTACACTAAGCCCTAAACCATAAACCGCGTGAACCCTAAACCCATGAACCCTAAACCCTGAACCCTATGAGCCTCACTTCGAAAGTGCGTTTCAGGTGGCCTCTGTAGTGTTGTCACACCATGAGAAGGAGTACCTGACAGCCCAGGGAGTTCACGAGTTGCTCATCTCTTCTGTACTGGGAAAAGCGGATCTGCTTCCTATGTACAGACATGTATTTAAAAACATATACAATTCTAGATGATTTTTTACGCGTAGAATTTAAGCAATGTGTATGTACAAAAAAAAATATATATATATATATATATGTCTGTCTATATATGTAGATCTGGGCAACAAACTCCCAAGAATCGCCAACCATGTGGCCAACCCTGGCTCCTCCGAAACCTCGTTCCATCTACCGCAGCGGCCTCATTAAGAAAATGACGCTCCGGCACCAGGACCCCTACGTCTGCGAAGAACGGGTTTAGGGTTTAGGGCTTAGGGTAACCTCTCCTGCATTATTGTGGCACGCTAATGCTCGGCTGTGAACAGGATGTGCCCGCACCCGAAATTTTGCGGTTCCATTCTCCAGCCGCTATGAAGAACGTCTGAGTGTTGGCTGCGACTGAGCGTGAGCGTTACATCTCCAACCCTTCAGCGGATCTCAGCGGGGGCACTCGGGGTAACACGTAAATGCCCATGATGGCGTAAGCAGCGTGGCTGCACCTCAGCCCGTGGTATGAGGAGCCAACGAGACATCCTGGCGCTTCTGCCTGATACATGTTTCCTCAGGTGCCCAGCCCAGCCACCATGAGCTCCGGCAGCCGAGAGCACCTGGGGGCAGCTCAACAAGGTGGGCAAGTTGCTCTGGACCGCCAGGTGGCTGACGAAAAAAAACTGCATCCAGCGCACATGATGGCTTCCAAAAAGTAGCTTGCGAGGAGGTTGCGCATTTCAGTCTCAAGGGCTGGCACATGGCGGCATGGTCTCCCATGCAGCCTCATGGGAGGGCCATCTGGCTACGCTCCGAAGGTTCGGCGAGGTGTCGGTGTCGTGTCGGCGTATCTCTGGCCTAAGCCTATGGCTGCCTGGGAGCGCACTCATGAGAATGGCGTGCATGGTGCGCAGCTACTGCTAGATGGAGGCAAAACGATGTGAGTGGCGGATTGGCAGCTGCATCTACGCTGGCGCCCATGCTGGTTATGTGCTATCATTCCGCATCGTGCTGATGGCAGTCGGTCAGAAGGCATCGCGAGTCTTCAGCACCTATTCACGCAACGTGGCTGTCAGGCACTGCTGCTTGGCAAGGCTAGTTTCCGGATGTTCCGCGGCAGACAGCTGCAATGAAAGCCCTGGGCCTTGGCAAGCACAGAACAGACCACAAGCCATTCTTTGTCGTCTGGATGCCTTTCGTTTTTCGGCCACCTCGCTGGGGTCACTGTCCTTCAGCAACCAGATGCTCAGCGATTCCGACGCAGACCTTCGACTATGGATCGGGAAAGATGAAAAAGTCGGCCGGTGCTGAAAACTTGCGGGCGAGTTTGGGTAGGTCGGCAAAGGAGCTGCAAGCTACCAAAAGACTCTTGGGGCTATCTCAGCACCATCTAGCACAGCTAGCTGGCCCAAGCCTGGAGAGTGAAAGACTCATCCATTCCTGAGCTCAGGATGGTACCCTAAACCCCTAACCCTGTTCAAGGCACAAATGGCACGGATCTGCCTCACCACCGATGCTACAGGACCTGAGTGACCTGCCAGCGTCGAATGCCGTCACCTTGGGGGTGGCTAGAAACAAAAGGTAAGGAGGTACTAAGAGCAGGAGGATAGTACATATGTAGAGAAATATACATATACACATATGCTCTATGTATGATATGTGTACCATATAGAAAATATTCACTACATAGAATTACTAAGTACACTACATACTGACATATTACATGAAGAATACACACATATATATATATATATTATATTATATTATATTATATTGATGTATTTCCTGCATACAACAAACGACCTATTCGGTGATACAACAACAAGGGCGCGTAAGCAGGCGCCAGAGGCTTGGCCCTCCACCAGTACCCATCGGCGAGTGGGGCACAGCCAGGCCTCATCAGTAACAAGAAGCAGGCCCCCAAGAAGCTTCGGCTTGGGGTTTAGGGGTTAAGGGGTTTAGGGTTTAGAGGTTGAGGGTTTAGGGATTCAGGGTTTAAGGGTTTGAGGGTTTAAGGGTTTCGACTCTCACGCCAGCTGACGCAGGCAAGGCTCCGGTAAGGGTTTAAGGGCTTCAGGGTTTAAGGGTTTAAGGGTTTCAAGGTTTAAAGGCTTAATGTTGCCAACATTCAAAGGGTTTAAGGGTTTATGTAAGGCCGCTGTGTTTGTCACTTCTTGTTTACCCCATCTTCCCCTCATCGAGGCAGCAGCGCCAGGCTTTGTGGCGATGGCGTGCTCCATTGCAGCGGCGGCCTCGGCATCTAGAGTCTTCCATCTATATCTATATCTATATATGTGTGTGTATGTATATATATATAAACACACACACACACACACACACACACACACACACACACACACACACACACACACACACACACATATATATATATATATGGTACCCCCCCCCTCCAAAACCCCACGTCTTAGGTCACCAATTCGCAGATTCGCAGATTTGTAGCCCCCAACCAATCTGCAAATCTGCGAACCGGCGAAACCTCGAGAAAACGCAGATTCGCTGATTCGCAGATTTGTAGCCCCCAACCAATCTGCAAATCTGCGAACCGGCGAAACCTCGAGAAAACGCAGATTCGCAGATTCGCAGATTTGTAGCCCCCAACCAATCTGCAAATCTGCGAACCGGCGAAACCTCGAGAAAACGCAGATTCGCTGATTCGCAGATTTGTAGCCCCCAACCAATCTGCAAATCTGCGAACCGGCGAAACCTCGAGAAAACGCAGATTCGCTGATTCGCAGATTTGTAGCCCCCAACCAATCTGGAAATCTGCAAATCTGCGAAACCTCTAGAAAACGCAGATTCGCAGATTTGTAGCCCGCAACCAATCTGCAAATCTGCGAATCTCCGAAATCTCGAGAAAACGCAGATTCCCAGATTTGTTGGGGGGCGCAAATCTGCAAATCTGCGAATCTGCGTTTTCTCGAGGTTTCGCAGATTCGCAGATTTGAAATCTGCGTTTCCTCGAGAAAACGCAGATTCGCAGATTCGCAGATTTGTAGCCACAATCAATCTGCAAATCTGCGAATCTGCGTTTTCCTCGATCTCAAAAATCTGCTATGTAAATAGGCCTTCATACTTAGATTATTTGTCGGGGAGGAGAATTAAAGAACATCTATATTCTAAGAAATAGAGGAGTCTTCATGTTTAGATAGGGGCCTTCAGATTTAAATTACTTCACTCGGTGAGGGACTGAAATGCCTGTTAAATACGCGTAAATAAGTTCAATAATTTTCATGCTTTAAATCCTGAAAGGGGGTCCTGGCCCCCTCCACAAGGAGAATTAAATAATGTAACAACTGAGGTCTGAGGGGGCCTTCAAATGTAAATCTGAGGGGGCCTTCATATGTAAATTGTGCAATATTTCCCTCCCCCCCCCCCCCCAGAAGGAAGGAGGGCCCCCCCCCCCCCTTCAAGATGAGAATTATTGAGTTTTTGTAATTCTCCCCCTCTGAACAAAACAAAGTAAATATGGAAGGGCCTTCATATTCAAATAGGGGCCTTCGTATTTACATGTATTCACCGAATTTATATAAAATAAATGCGAAGGAGCCTTCATATTTAATTCATTGGTTCGGGGAATAATATTCACCGAATTTATATAGGTTAAATGTGAAGGTACCTTCACATTTATTTCATTGATTCGGGGAGGGGAATTTAAAACTTTCATGAGTTGTATAAAGAAAATATTTCAAATAATTAGATCCTGAAAGGGGGACCTAGCAGGGGGAATTAAATAGTTTCAATCTGAGGGGGCCTTCATTTCTACTTATTAACTTGTCTAGTTCCCCCCAGAAGGAGAGAGCCCCCCCCCCCCTTCTTTCAGGATTTCAATTATTTCCCTTATTTACATCAATGTGTTAAAAAAGGTTAAATCCTAGAAGGGGGGCCTGGCCCCCTCCCGCCGGGGGAATTGAATAATTGAAATCGGAAGGGGCCTTCATATTTGAATGAGGATGCTCATATAAAAAGAATGCATTTTTTCATTCAATCCAGAAGCTCCCCCTTCTTAGGATTTAGGCTATTTAAACTATTTGATTCTCAAATATTTATCCCCACCAAATTCAAGAAGTTAATTAGTTTAAATTCGGGGAGGAGAATTACATAAATTAAACATGGAGGGACGTTCATATATAAATAGGGCCTTCATATTTTACATTATCTAATTCGGGGAGGGTGTTTAATGAAATCATTTAAATAATGTGTATCAAATATTTTTTATAGTTTTACTAATTTGAAGAAATTAAGTCCTGAAAGGGGGCGCCTGGCCTCCTCCCGCGAAGGGGAAGTAAAACATTAGGTAATGTAAATCTGAAGGGGCCTTCATATTTAAATAGGGGCTTCATATTTAAAGTATTGAGTTCCCCCCAGAGGGAGGGAGCTGCCCGCCCGCCTTTCAGGAATCAAATTATCTAAACTATTTACATTATTTTACACGATTTAATTCTCCCACCCGCTTTAAATAATTCAAAGCCCCCCCTTTCCGGATTTAAACAGGTTAGTTATTTAAATGCACCAAGTCGAAGCCTGTCATACGAAACATCGATGCTAGCCGCTCTTTTTTCTTAAACGTGGGGTTTTGGAGGGGGGGGTAGCATATATATATATATACATACATAGATATATCCCCCTAAACCCTTTTCGCAACGGGGCTTTGGAGTCCGCCCGGCTTGAGGGAGCAACCGCCTCGCCCCCTAAATCCTAAACCCTAACATTTTTGGCATCCAGGCGAAGCCCTGAACCTCAAAAGCCTACAACGCTAAAGCCTGAACTCGAAACCCTAAAGGCGGTGCTCGCCTCTCATTTCCTGGGCTCCATGCGTCCTCGGCCGGTGGGGAACCGAAGCCTTGATCGATGGCAGCCATCCGAACATGCTTGGCGAATCTCAAGAGTCCCAACCTAAGCAGTTCACTGCAGAGCTTCGAAGTGAATCTGCACTGATCATCGGTCGTTCTGACCAGGGAAGGACTGCTCAACGCGATGTCTTGCCCCCAAGGTGTGGGCGAGCTACTGTTTCTACGTCTTTGCATTTGCCTGTTCTGGATTCCCCAATCCCCCGTGGCCAAAAAGGAGCCCTGAGCCAGAATGCCCAGGCTTGGGCCAAAGTCAAACCCCAAATCCCCGTATGTACACAAAAACAAATAAATTATATATATATATATATATGCATGTATATATACATACATATGTATATATGTACATTATACATATATATATATACATACATATATCTATGTATCTGTATATGTGTATATGTAATACACCTATGCATATGTGTATATATGTACGTGAAACCCCAAAGCTGGGGTTGTGGCTGGCCGGCCTTAGACAGGGCGGTGGCCACGAGCGCCGTTTGGGGCTGAAGGGCTCTTCGTTAGATCCCAGCAACTGAAAGGGAGTTGCTGGCATCGCGGCCTATTCACATCGCTGGGCAGCAGGCAGAAGAGTTCAGGAAAACCCCCTAACAGTGAAAGGCGTAGACATGCCTGAAGGTGAGGTGCGCACACGTCAACCCAGGGAGTCTTGAAGTGGCAGTGCAGCAAATTACGCATGTTCAAGGCTACGCCGCTCGTGGTAGGCAAGGTGGTGGGGAACGTGATAAAACGAGGTGCAAGGAATGCCTGAAATTATTGGACAGCCCTGGCTGGTGGACACAACAAGGCCGACTCTGCTAGTGTCATTTGACCCTACGTGAAAATACTGTGTCTTGAGTCTTGGCGACATCCGATGCGGCATTTGTACAGCAGTTCGTTAGTCATGGTGGGGGGTAAGAGTTTTTTTTTTGCTGTGCCGGCTTTTTTGCTCTGGGGGCCTTCTGCGTTTTTTTTTTGCTGTGGGGGCCTTCTGCGTTTTTTTTTTTTTGCTGTGGAGGCCTTGTGCTTTTTTTTTTTGCTGTGGAGGCCTTGCGCGTTTTTTTTTTGCTGTGAAGGCCTTGCGCGGTTTTTTTTGCTGTGGAGGCCTGGAGCGTTTTTTTTGCTGTGGAGGCCTTGCGCGTGTTTGTTTTTGCTGTGGAGGCCTTGCGCGTTTTTTTTTTGCTGTGGAGGCCTTGCGCGGTTTTTTTTTGCTGTGGAGGCCTGGAGCGTTTTTTTTGTTGTGGAGGCCTTGCGCGTTTTTTTTTGCTGTGGAGGCCTTGCGCGTTTTTTTGCTGTAGGGGCCTTGTGGTTTTTATTTTTGCAGTGGCGGCCTGGTGCGCTTTTTTTTTTGCTGTGGAGGCCTTGTGCATTTCTTTTGCTGTGGAGGCTTTGCGCGTGTTTTTATTTTTGCTGTGCCGGCTTTTTTACTCTGGGGGCCTTGTGCAATTTTTTTTTGCTGTGGGGGCCTTCTGCGTTTTTTTTGCTGTGGAGGCCTTGTGCGTTTTTTTTTTTTCTGTGGGGGCCTTCTGCGTGTTTGTTTTTGCTGTGGAGGCCTTTGCTTTTTTTTGCTGTTGTGAGGCCGGTTTTTTTTTTGCTGTGGAGCCTTGTTTTTTTTTTTGCTGTGGAGGCCTTGCGCGCTTTTTTGCTGTTGCGTTTTGTTTTTTTTTGCTGTGGAGGCCTTTGTTTTTTGCTGAGCGTTTTTTTTTTTTTTTTTGCTGTGGAGGCCTTGTGCGCTTTTTTGCTGTGGAGGCCTTGCGCTTTTTTTGCTGTAGGGGCCTTGTGGGTTTTTGTTTGCTGTAAGGGCCTTGTTTTTTTGTTTTTGCTGCGGAGGCCTTGCGCGTTTTTCTTGTTTTGCTGTGGAGGCCTTGCGCGTTTTTTTGCTGTGGAGGCCTTGCGCTTTTTTTTTCTGTGCTGTGGAGGCCTTGCGCATTTTTTGCTGTGGAGGCCTTGCGAGAAAAAAACAACGCAGCGGGGGGGTTGGGGGGGGCGCAGCCCCCCCCCCATTTGCAAACACACGGCTCGCACGACGGGTTTCAACAAGATTCATATGTTTTGCAGCACGCTTGCACGGCGAAAAATAAACAGCGGGGGGGTTGGGGGGGGCGCAGCCCCCATTTGCAAACACAATGCTCGTACGATGGGTTTCAACAAGAGGCAGCTGGGGCCCTGGGGGGTTTAGGGGGGGGGGGGGGGGGCAGCCCCCCCCCATTTGCAAACACACAGCTCGCACGACGGGTTTCAACAAGATTCATATGTTTTTGCAGCACGCTTGCACGGCAAAAACAGCGGGGGGGTTGGGGGGGGCGCACGCTTTGCACGGTTTAGCTGGTTTCGGGCTAAGGGTTGAGGGTTCAGGGTTCAGGCAATTCTGCCGCCAAGCCAGCATGGCCTGCTGCGCGGCCCATTTCAGCAGGCAAGGTCCAAAGTGCGCGGAAGGATGACTCCCCTGCGCATCTAACCACGGCATAGGTACCCGCGGCCGGGGTAACCGGGAATACGGGACAGCTTGCAGACGTTTCCTCCTCCTCATTCCAGTAGATCTGTTGACCCACATGCAGGTCCGGAGTTGGGGATCGTGCTACGGCATCGACAGCACCATTGGCAGGCTTGAAGCTTAAGCGCATGAAGGCAACGCCAGAGTAAAGCCAGGGAGTGGGTGAGGATGGAGGCGAAAATGGCTCAGGATCGCGACGTGCTGTGCGCGGCCAAACCCTGTGCAGGAGAGCTGCCGCGACGTCCTTCGTGGAGACGCCTTCGCCGCCGCAGCCACGCATTTCCAGCTGGAACCGGTCCACAGGAACGTCCAAAAAGTTCAGAAGCATCTTGCGCTCCTCAGTGAGCGGGGAGCGACGCAAGACAAACCCACCGCCGCGTGAGCTCTCCTCCAAAATGCCCAAGTCCAGATCGACAATCTGCTGCAGCAGGGCCCTGCGCTGCGAGAAGTCCGCGTCCTTGCGTAGGCAGGCAAGGCGGCGGCCCATCTCGGTCACAGAAATGGGATCGGCGATGCATTGTCTCAACACACGGCCCACGCTGTCTGCCTCCGCGTGTCGCTGCGGCACCCGGCTACTAGAAGCATTTTTCTCCTCATCTGCGCGAGAAGCGCAAGCACGATCGATGACAGCGCAGCCATGCAAGAGGCGCCTATCGAAGAAGCGGAAGGCACATTTGAGAGCATTGTCGGAGATGTCCGGCGCAGGTCCATCCGGGCGCAAATTCTGCTCGAGAAGGTGCGTGAGCTGCGACATCATTCCAACATGGTACTCAAGTTTTCCAAGAGCGGCAACGCTAGCCGTTCCCCAGCCAGTCTCGGCAGAAAGTTCGCCTATCTCATAATACAGATTGCTGACCTCTGCTTCCTGAGATGGGTTCAGCGCCAGAGGAGGGGCCTCCCCGCAAGCATGGCCGTACCGGGACGCGGCAGTTAACCAAAAGTTCTGCAACAGTTCGGCAACAAAGTGCGCACTCCCTCTGCCGAGGTCTCGGTCCACGAGGGCCCGCTGCGAAAAAGCAAAGAGAATGCGGGAACTAAAGCCAAGCGCATGTTTGCGCTCCAGCGGAACCCACCAAGAACCGAGCACGCTTAACTGCTGGAAGTAGCATAGATTCACACTCGTGTGGCGGAACGACAAAAAATTGTTCTCCGGCGCTTCAACGGGTAGAGGATCTTCACCTTGTTCCTCGCGCACCTTGACCGCTTCCCTGGCCGCCCGAGCTCGGCGCAGATCACTGGCCGTGATCCACTCGTACGATCCGCCAGACGCTGTTTCCAGCAAGTATGAGAGGTTCAGATAATGTTTGTCATCGGCTATGAGACGAGAAACATAACCCGGGTCCAGCACTGTGCGTGCTTCGGGGTTTGTACAAAGCACAACACCACCTGTGTCTCGCATAGTCTCATTGAGAGCAGCGTGAGTACCACGACAGTAGACATGGCTGACACGGGTCTCGTGAACTGCTCAAACAGCGAGATCAGCCAGGAATACGTCGGGCTCTTGCCTGCCGTGGGCTCACCCGTGAGGATGGCCCAGAATCTGGCGCGCACAAGGAAGTCCGGATCCGAGGAAGGGTAAAGCGACAGGGCCATTAATCGGTGCAAACAACTTGCGAAGCAAGCAAAAAACATGTCCACCACAAAGCTATCAGGCTTGCCGGTCCGTGCTGCAAGGTAGCTTGCAGCGACTGCGAGTGGGAAAAAAGTGCAATGAGCTAAATCGGCAGTGAGCTCGCATGCCTGCGCTGCGTCAATCTGCTGGTGCTTCCTCGCACGTGCGCCGGCGACAGTGTCGGCGACGATGCGAGTCAAGGGGGTGCGGCAAATGTAGGTTGAGTAGAGCGGAAGTTCTCGCCACAAAGCCTGCCGCTGCTCGCCGGTCACGGCGGCATCCGAGTGTCGCGCGAGATACCACACCCAGCGTCGAACCTCGGCATCTGGGTTGACGATGAAATCCTCATCGAGCTGTTGGGGCAGACCTCTTGCGTAGTTCTCAGGCTCCGTGGCGCCAAGTGGCTCTGCCAGCGGTGACGTGCGCGCCTCCGAGGCACTACGACGCGCACGCCGGCGCCTGGCAGGAGTAGGGATGAAAGATGAGATCGGGGCCTGCACTGCTAGGCGAGGTGCGCAGCTGGGGTGCGGCACCACGCTTGCTTGGTTGGGACAAGGCTGGCACGGCAGAGGTGTTGCAGTTTCTGAAGCAGTCTCCATGTGTCTCAGACCCCAATCTGCGGCCCTGGGCATATCGTCGGGATGTGCTCTGATGGCAAGGCAGGCGGCCGGGCGCGCTTTTTTTTGCTGCGGAGGCCGGGCGCGTTTTTTTTTGCTGTGGAGGCGTGGGCTCACTCACTCACTTGTTGGTCTGCCCTGGCTGCGTACTCCTCCCTCGCCAGGGCGCGTTTTTTTTGCTGTGGAGGCCGGGCGCTTTTTTTTTTTTGCTCCGGAGGCCGGGCGCGTTTTTTTTTTGCTGTGGAGGCCGGGCGCCTTTTTTTTTTTTTTTGCTGTGGAGGCCGGCTTTGGGTCGCCTTAACAAAAAAAACCGCAACAAAAAAAAAAAAAAAAACGGGTTCCGGGGGGGATCTGTCTTTCTATTTTCAAGGAGGCAGCTTTGCTTAACCAAGCCGCACATTGCAAAAGGCTGCGGGAGTTGAACAAGTGATGACATGCCAGTGTAAGATTAAGCTTTGCTGAGGCTAGGGCGATTTGAGAAAACTATCCAGCTCATCACCTCATCCAAAATATCTACAAGTAGGCTCAGAAGAGTCATCGAACAGCGATTGCATAAAGTGCTTTCGCTAGGATAGCTGCATGTTTTCTGTCAGCATGCTAACTAACGCCTTTTCTCTACCGGCAGTCTCTGACGATCCTGAACCCTTGAACCCTGCCAAGCTAACCCTAAGACTCCATGTTTCTAAAACTCTTTTGTTGAGGAAGATTGCAACTTGGGGCTTTCTTGACTCTCTTGGGCCACAGCGTCCTTCCGGCGGCCCCTGGGCGTCGGCTTTATAGCCCAGTTCAAGAAGGATAACAGTAACAGAAGCGGTCATTTCTCTTATGATGACAAGTACAATTGTTACCTTAAGGGCTAGTGAATTCTGGAGCTGCCCACAGTTCACACGTCGGATGAATTCTGGAGCTGCCCTGCAAGGCGGCCATTTGTAGTTGGTAAGCCAAGAATACCAAAGAAATTCTGAACACGTTGCGATGCCCCGCTCTCCTGTACACAAAACACAACACCGACAAAGCGACAATCATTAGCTACTAGTGATAGTAGATTTCTATATGCACACATATAAGCCCATCTTCCCTAAACCCTCAACACACTCCTTGAGCACAAAGGTCTGCGAAATGCTCCCCTTTTATGGTCCACGACTTCTGGATGCCAAGAGTGGCCTGGCTCTTGCCGACCGATGAGGATTCCCCGGCCTGTCAGGGGGTTGTATACGGGGGTTGTATACTTACTAATACATAAAAAAATATAAGCATATAAATATTTTTTATTGATTTATTTCACCATATATATATATATGTATGTATGTATGGAACCATTCCCCCCCCCCCACCCACAGATTTACCCTTTTCGCGGTTTGTACCAATTCCTTCGGGGGGGGGGGGGGGGGGGGAGGGGTTAGCACCTCATCATCTCTGCCATATCCGAAGCACCGTGTGAAAACCAGTCTGCACGAGCTGTCACGCCTCAAAACCGCGTGTCCAGTCAGCCTCTAGAAATTCTGAGTTCAAAAAATCGAACTCATGCATTTTATAGTAACAGACCCAGCACAGTGGCGATATCCACAAAGGGAGTACTGTGAGCAGGTAACCGTGCTTTATCCGTGGCCTTGCCATATAATTCTGTTTTGAGTACAGCAGAAATCTACTGAGGCCCTTGTGTACCTCAGAGAGGCATGGTCCCAGTGGTAACTGGCAGAAAGGCTGTATCCTCTGCTTCTAAAAACCATTGTAGTTCGGAGCCACACTGAAGAGATATGATCTAATAAGGTCTTGTTAAACCGCGAAAGGATAGGCTAGCCTGTTTAGTTAGTAAAGTTGACCCCACATCTTGAGCAATCAACGAATTCTTCAATGAACGTTAGAAAGTTCAGAGCACCAGCCACAAGAACATGTTTTCAATTGATGTAAAATTGTGAGACAATCACATGTCAGACTCTTCTCAGATGCTAGGCTGGAGAATCGAGCCATCACGCTGGAACTTGCCAAGCCTACTTCATCCTACTTCTGAGGGTGGCGCGGAAACAAAATTAATGGATGCTGCCCACCGTTTGACACCGTTTGAACTGCCGGAGAAAGATATAGTAGATTTGTCATGTTGATCTCGTGTTTTCACCGTATAGGCAATTTAGCTAAACAAAGTAGCCCGCAGGGTAGTTTGCTGAAATTGGTCCTTGCCAAGTTACAGAAGAATGTCTAATTGGGATACATGACGTGTCTCTAACATGTGAAGCGGAATACTGATTTACCTTGTCGGGTATTGGATTTGAACATTGACGTGAATTACACTTGCACGGGCTTTCATTGTTTAGCGTAACATCCCATATTCCCAGATTTGCCACGTCCCTTGCCCAGATTTCCCAGAGTCACCTCATCTTCCCAAGTTCCCAGATTTGTTCACCCTAGATTCCCAGATTCCCAGATTTGTTCGCCCAATATTCGCAGATTCAAGGCTTCGAATGTGGCACTTTGGGATTCTATTTGGGACTGTACTGTCACCCCCAGGCAGATATCCCAGACAGAAGCGTACAAAGGCTTCTTGTTTTGGCCACCCATCTAGTCATGCTCCATGGGGCGACTGTAGAGAGAGAATGCTTTGCACAGAAGCCGCTTAGGGTTTAGGATGTTAGGGTTTAAGGGTTTAGGGTTTGGCTTGGATGCGGTCTCTTGAAGGCCCCTTGACCAAACCAGCGTGACCGCCGAACTTCTGCCGGTTGTTCCGGTTGGTTTTCCTGGTTTATATCGGCCTTTGGGTCCGACTCTTTGGAGCCTGAAGTCTCATCCTTGGTCTGCGCCCTGGTTTAGGGTTTAGGGTTTAGGGTTTAGGGTCTAGGGTTTAGGGTTTAGGGTTGCTACCTCCTGAGCTCCTAAGCCACCTCGAAGCCCGAAGCCTGACTCAAGGACCCCCAGCACACAGCATCGGAAGCCCTGAGACGGGGCGTCCTCGGCCAACTTGACCAGCAGGAAGTCACCCATCTCCAGCCGCCGGCAAGGCAAAAGCAACCTCCAAGAGAAGAGCCGATAAACCCTAAACCCTAAACCCTAAACCCGTCTGCAAACCGGCCCCAAGAAACAGGGGTGCTGCGAGAAGGTGCAAGCCGACATACAACAGCAGACGGATGGAAAAGCAGCTTGGTTTTGTTTTTGCCTTCTCAACCATCCAACACCCTCAGCTTCAAACCCTCCAGAATGCAGAATCCTAAACCCTAAACCCTAAACCCTAAAAGGCTCATGGTTTAGGATCTCCTGCCCTGGCTTGCTGTTTATGCACAGAACCGCTGCCGAAGAAAGTCTCACGAAGGCCAAATGTACGGCCTGTGAATTGAACCCAACACACAATTTAAGAAAATTGGCACCACCTTTGCCGAATTCTGTGTTCAAGGCCTAGCTTCACCCAAAACAGTTCATGCTGCATAAGGATTCAGGTGTTCAGGGGGGGAGGGGGGGCTGTGCGTATTTTCAGGTCACAGCAACAGTTTTTAGGGGAAATGGGTCGTATTCATGGAGAGGGCCTGTTAGCTAGCAGTGTTCATGCACCAGTTCGTGATACTACCCTCCGACCCAACCATCACAACCACCATAACCATGAACCTCATAAACCTCATAACCATCATAACCATCATAACCATACACCACCTTTACCATCATACCTCATAACCATTCTACCCAATTATCCTATACCCCAAAGATCCAAAAGAACCCTCACCACCAACCTTACCAATTCTCCATAAACCCCAGTCACCAAAACCCCTAACCCTCAAACTTACCCAAACACCTTAACCCTGAACCCGGGCATGAACCTTGTTTAATTTTCATAACTTATATTATTATGAAAACTAATTTTGCAAGCACCTGTCAATATTCAGAATATGCTTCTTTGTCTTCAAATATTCCGAAAGATGATTTTCCTACCAGTGCAATTAGCCTAACACGCTAAATCCTATAACTAACAATTATGTTTTCCAATCGGACTGTTCAACAGGCTACGCTGCTTCCTACTCGACTGGAAGATTACTCCATGAAAATGCATTGCATTCACAGCAGCAGCACTCTGACAACGTAGCATGTATGCTGCGCAAACTCAAGCAAAGTGTCTTTAATGTGCTTGTTTCTGTCTTGGCTATCCCTCGAGAGACACGAAGGCATGGCGTTTTGGTGGAGTGGGTATAGGATAATTGTTGAGGTCTTTTGGTAATTAAGGGGGTTCGGAGGGTTGAGGGTATAGGACGGTAGTCCGTGAACTGGGGCGTGAACATGTCTAGCTCTCTTCGGGGTCTCTGGTTTCTTCGGCCTCTTGCACCAGCTTGTTCACACGGGGGGTTTCCGACATTTGGGGTACCTTTTGGGGGTCCTTGTTCTAAGGGAATCCTACTATTTGGGGTCTATTATAGGGTTCCCTTATTTCCGTACACTCCCAGACTGTTTTTGTCTTCCACGGCGACATCGCGCAGGGCTTCGGACACTTCAAACGACGGGAGTTGGAGAAAGCCAGCTCTGAAATTCGGAAGTTGCAACGTGGATGTTTTGGGTTTCGGGGTGAAGGTGTAAATTCTCCTCCTCCTTCTATGCCGGCATTAAAGGCAGGCTTTGGGCGTTCACATGGGCGCCTGTGCTGAGGCCCACTGCCAGAGCTTGCCATGACTCTCGAGCAAAGGCTATGCTGATCATGGTCGTCTCTGACCCATGCAGCTGAATGGACCCGAGCCAGCAGCCCGCAGAAACCTAAAAGAAACCCGAGCGCCCTCTGGCATGACATTATGACATTGACAACGAGCTGGAGTCAGCAGAGAACCGGTATGCGGCACGAGGCCTCACTCCCAAAGGCTTGTTAAGAAGCTCGAGGCGGTAATCTAGGGGTCTTGATAATTGGAATAGGGTTTTTGGGGTTATTATCGTAGATTTTTTAAGGGGGTCATAAGGGGAAGATTGTTAGTAATTCTTCCGACCCCTGTACTAGCTGAGCTCGTCTGAGCTCTGCTGACAGCCAGCCGCCAGCAAATCCTTCATCGAGTCGTGTGCGCCGGCAGAACGGCGTCCGTCTGGAAGACTCAGACAGCAAGACATTATCTCAGCCATTGACACAGCTGATCCGAGTCGCGCGCTCAGGAGCTTGGCACTCATGCCTCTAGGACTTTTGATTTAGCCCATAAGAATTCCGATAAGCCTTACGACCTTACGACATCTCTGACTAAGCTGTTCAGCGTCTTCCTGAACCCCGAAACAAGATCAGCCATGGCTTCAACTTGGGCATGGTCGTGCTTCGCACGTCTATGTCAGCTATACCACAGCAGCTGGAAATCATTCCACAAAGCACTGTGGCCATGCACCTGCCTTGAGCAGGAGAATTCCCACGGATTTCGAAAAATTGGAAACTGAATTCAGAGCATGGGCACGGCTTGCCTGGTGCTGGTGCTGTTCAGCGCATGCAAGCCCACTCATCCTCAAGAGATCTACCATTCGTACTCCAGCCAAGCAACAGGCAAAATGCCGATGTGCGTTATCTTGCGGAGGATAGCTGCAAGAGCTCCCTTCTACGATTCTAGGTGAAACACGTAGCAGGCGAATTCGCTGCTTGCGTGCACTGCTCTGTCAAGCCCAGCGGCGCAATTCGTCTCAATCGTGAAAGTGGGCTGAGTGTCGCTTGTTCTAGGCATGAAAAGCTATTAGGGCCGCAGGTGCTGCCCAACAAAGCAGCTAGGCACACAACTGCTCGGTCGGCTAAGTCCAGGTTTCCGCCAGAAGCCTTAGACTGCAGCTGGGAGAGTTTCTTGGACGAGACGAGGACTCGCGGTGGCTCACGCTCTACATGCACTCGCAGTTGAAGGGTGTTGAAGGACACACAGAGCTGCTTCAGGCCTGGCGGTGCCAGCAAGAGTAGCCATGCCAGGATTCTAATCGGACTCCATCCTACTTTTGGCCTTGAACCCAAAACCCTCAACCCTAAACCCTAAACCTCACAAAAGCAGAATCTTGCTCTCCAAGCCGCTGCTTGTCAGTGAGCTTCACTCGCACCGGACTATGGCGCCTGTGTCAGGGTAGACGAAGTTGCGGCAGCACCCGGTTAAGGCCCTGCTATATGGGTTTGGGGTTTAGGGTTTAGGGTTTAGGGTTTAGGGTTTAGGGTTAGGGTTTGGGGTTTAGGGATGGTGCTGTTGGTTAGTTGGACTGTTCGTTCTGGCTAGGTGCACTTGACAAGGGGAGCTGAGGAGCACTGATGAGCCACCATGAACGAAAGAAATGCTTGGCATTGACAAGGTCGCAACGAGTTGAGGCAAATGAGCTGCCAAGAATAGATGGTGATGTAGTAAACACGACTGCGGACCCAAACCTACGGCGGGCAAAGCCAGAACCTCAACGAGCGACCGATTTCAAAGGCCTTAGGCCTTACACGGAGACAAGGAGACATGTAGTGGCACATGACAGGGAAAGATGTATCCTCTCGCCGGTTAGTCTTTTTCGCTAAGGGTCGCAGCATCTCTTTTGTGCCATGGCGTGTGAGGGCCTTGGAGGGTAGGGAACGTACTGACCAAGTCCGCCGTATGTAGCTATATAAGCAACTAATTAGGGTCTGAGCACACTGCCGCCATGTGCAGGCGTTCATTCTGCATGCTACAGTGGTTCAGCTGTTGCTTAGCGCCGTTCGAGAAACTCAAGACGCAAAACGCCCCCCGCGAACCCTGTACGATCGCATGTCTCTTGACAACGGGGGTTCAGCTTTGCGGTTGAGGGTAGGGAACCAGACAGACCACTCGGCATCACAAGTCCAAAATCTTCAAACCCCTCCAGAATCATGGATGCTCATGGGTGCAACGCTCTCCTGTCAGGCTGTCCGTTCGTCTGCAGGTGCTTGGCGTGTAGCATGACAGCAAGCCTGGACAGTTTCGAGCAATTTAAATTGAACATCTAGTGCTGCGGCCGCCTTTGCAGGCCAGTTGTCTTCAAAACTTGAGGATTACGACTCGATGTCTTGACAAGCCCACATGTCTACAACAGCCGGACAGTCGGAAAGAGCCATTTGACTTGCGCTGCTGAGCTATAGGTGCACAGAAAGCCTAACCCTTTTTGCATCTGGACTGCACGCTGGCCCTAACCCATTCTAGTTAGAAACCAGGACTGCGCAAACGTGCAACCCTAATCCCTCGCTCGTCCCTAAATACCCAGGCTCAGCTGGCTCAGCTGTGTCCGCCTCTCTTGCGAACAGGACGGTCGAATGACGGCATGCAGTGTTTGCGTCTCGCTTCGCGTGCCTTGGCTGGGAATCCGATCTCGAGCCCTAAACCCGTTTTTCACAAGGGGCGCAACCCTAAACCCTACACCCTAAACCTTTGGGGTTCATAGATAGGGTTTGAAATTTAGGGCAGACCCGAGCGTTTATGAGGATCAAAGTGCCTCACCAGCTCCTCGACCTTACACGCCAAATTCTCAAAATAGGCAAGGAAGGGCCTGCCAGCCCATATGGGGGGGGGGGGGGGTTCCCCTAATCTAGTCCCGCAAATAGTAGGATCCCGCTATCATAAGGACCCAAGAAGGTACCCCTAATCTCGGAAATCCTCATGTTCCCTACCTAGTTTGGGGTTTCGGGTTTAGGGTTCAGGGTTGAGGGTTAGGAGTTGATTCATAGGATTCAGCTTCGAGTTTGCTTTTATGATCGGAGGTCGCGCAACGCTTAAAGAGTCGACAGGCGGTTGTTGGGGTGTTAGACGAGATCAGCTCGCAGGGACCCCCTTTTGGAATACTTTTTGAGTCCTAAACCCGAAAGAAACCCTAAACCCTCAACCCTACAACCCGAAAGCCCAAACTAAATATTCCCAAGCCTAAACCCTAAACCCTAAACCCTAAACCCTAAACCCTAAACTTTGAATGGCCCAAAGCCCAGGTGACTGGAAGCCGACGGCGGCCGCTGGACAGTGGCATAGTCTCTGGCACCAGGGCTGAGGACCTGCCGTGGCTGACGGGTTCATAGGTACAAGTAGGAAAAGAGGGAATTAAGGCCCTGTAAAAACC